GGAGTGAGCCGGTGCCGCCGCCCCCTGTTCGCCGGCGACGATAGTGTATATATGTATATGTATATGTATATATCTCAGTCCCGTTAAGAAAAATCTATATATTACGGCCAGAGGCGGATGTACTGCTTAGGGAATAGGGAGTGGAGGCATGTGCCCCCAATAAAATTCTAATTTTTTTCATATATGATATACTTCGTAGTCATTAATTAATTGTTAGAAACTGATATGCCCCAATAAAAATTATGAGTTGCCCCCAATAATTTTTTGTGACGTGCTAAAATAGCTAAATGAGTGCCTCTCTAAATATACTCCGTATATGTTAGTTTGTTTAAGCTGAGATCAATTGAATTGAGAAAAATAATGTAAAATTGTGAAGAAACTAGATACATACGGATATAAAAATTGAATGAAACATCAAATAAATAAATCAGAAACACAACTAATTGTAACCAAAGTATTTTAGTTACGGTAATTATAAAGGTTAGTGTTGGGATATATTATCCCGGCCTATTACTGTTCAGGAGCCCAAGACATTATCCAGTACGGAGCCCGAGCAGCTAGGCCCATTTCGGCCCATTAGGCTCAATATTGGCCCATTTGGCCCATTAGGGTGGAGAGCATCCTTTCCCCTTTATCTATAAATAGGGAGTTTAGCCTCCATGTAAAGGATCCCTTTTCTTCTTTCTTCTTCTCTCTAGATTAGCTTTATCCTCCATTAATGGAGCTTCAACATTTGTAACTTGTAATGGTGAGAAGAGTCCTAATGAGAATGAGAGGGCTTGGACATTAGCCTAAAAAGTCCCGTGGTTTTCTCCCTTTCGGGTTTCCACGTAAAAACTGAGCTTGTTCATACACATTTATACATATATTTACTATATCGTGTTGGATTAAACTCAACACTGGCGCCGTCTGTGGGAAGAAGATTAGGGGAAACCGGCCGGGACCCGCCGGGAACGTCTTCCTCTTCTTCAATTTCGGGCTCAGGGGTCGGAGGTTCCGGAATCTCCCCTTTGGTTTTGGCCTCTTCTCGACGGGCATCGCGCTCCAGTTTGCCCAAAGTCCGGGGCAGCTCAGCGTCATTAGTGTGTTGGGCCAGATTGAAGCCGGGGCCTTGGAGCTCGGCAAATATAGGCAAGGTAGCCTTTACCCCTTCATTGAAGCCAATGGCGAAGGAACTATCTCCAACGTCGTACAAGAACTTCTCTGACAAAGGGGCGCTCTCCAAGACCCGGACCCCGAACTTAAGACGGTCCTTCGGGGCCTGCTTCTGCAGCTCGGCGGAGAATACGTCGCCAAACGCACCGCCACAATACCTCTGGGCGGCAATCATGAAGGCCCCGGTGTTCTCGTACCCAGAGGTATCGACGAGCCATTCGGGAAGCCCATCCTTGGGAGCAGGAAGAATCGGGACGAGCGTGAACCCGGCCTTCACAAACGCAGCCACCTGTTCGGCAGACTCCCGAGCTGCCTTCAGAGCGGCCTGTAGCTCTGTCTCCTCGGCGGCCACCTCCTTCTCCTGAAGACGAGCGGCCTCCCTCGCCTTCTTCAAAGCGGCATCCGCCTTGTTTTTAGCCTGCAGGGCCTCAGCATCCCTCGCGGCCTCGGCTTGCAGCACAGATAGCCCGACCTACGAATCAGACACGAATGTAAGGCTTCGAGTGGACAGTATACAAATAATCAACTACTCAACATAAGGCAGAGTCTTACCTGAAGAGCGGCGGCCAGAGCCGCATTTGAAGCCTCCGAAGACGTTCGGGGGGGCACCTCCACCCCAGCCAAGGAGGCAATTTCCTGCCAGACGTCATGAGCCGGACGTCCTAGGGGAGGAAGGACAATTTCTTGTTCATCGGGGGCCGAAGAGCTAGCTCCCCGAGGCCTCTTCGCCTTCTTGTCCTTCACCTTTTCCCCGCCTTGGGGATGGACGGTCTGCAGGGGCGCCACCACCTCAGGGACGCCAGAGTCAGCATTTGGGGATTGGGACCCCTGCGCCATCACTGTGGTGATGAGATGTTGTTCCGACTCCACCGTGCGGCGATCGGCCTGGGAGGCGGAGGAGTTAGAATCGGCCGCTTGGACAGCCTTGGCCTTAGCAAGGGCGGCGTCGGCGGCAACACCCTTGCCCTTCCGGTTCTTCAGGAGCTTAGCGTGGTTCATTTGAGCTTGAGTGGGGGGCAGACCTGCGGATAAGAACACAAGGCATCAAAAATTAAACAAAGATTTTGACAAAGTACACTCACCCCAGAGGACAGGACCGCCCGGTGCCCCGAGATGAGCGTATGGGGGAGTTGGGAGTCCAGAGACGCGGGCGGTACCTATTTCTGTTGCGGCAAGTGCCTTGAAGGTGAGGAAATCATCCAAGGGCCGGACGCCGCCCGTCGTGATCTTCCTAATATCTTCCTCCAGATCGTCGGTCAGATCCGGTGACCCTATCTTGGGTGGATAACCATTCCATCGCAATGGCAGACGAGCATCCTCATACTGCACGAAGAAGAACCGATTCTTCCAATCATGGATAGAACTCGGTGCACCGCTGAAAAGCCTCCGTTTCGGACGAGCGGCGACGCTCAGGAAACCATCAGAATTTTGAGGGGTAAGCCGGAAGAAGTAATGGAACAAGACCAAAGTGGCAGTGACCCCTCTGTCCTTACAACGGACTAGGAATGCAGAAACGAACCGGTATGAATTCGGCATGAGTTGTGCAAGGGCTATTTGATAGCAGCAGAAGAACTCCACATAGAAGGGGTGGAGGGGAAAACGCAGCCCGGCTTCGATAGAGTCCAGAAGCACCATGACCATTCCCGGGCGTCTTCTCATCACGTGGGATGCGCCCCGAAGGCTATATACGAACGGAGGGGGGAAGTACACCTTAAGCTTATTGAGAGCTACGGCCGAGAAGACTTGCTCATGCCCTAAGACGTTCTTAATCGGGCAGATATGACGCTCCACATTTATCTTAAGACCCGAATCAAACACCTCTACATCAAATCCATCTTCGGCCTCAGCTCCCGAATCATAATCCGCTGGACGATCGTCCCCGGGGGTCGTGTTTTGATTCCCTATATCATCTTGGTCTGCCACCTCTAGGACCATGTCATCTCCATGATCTGCAGACGTGGCCGCCTCTTTGGCATTGGGTACGATAGCATTAACGGGAGCACCATCTTCTTGTATAGTGCCCACGATCGAGGCCGAACCAGAACTACCTGAGACACTGGCCTTGTTAGAAGAACGTGAGGAGGAGCCGGAACCTGAACCAGAACTAGAGGAGGAACACGAGGAAGAGCCCGAAGAGCTAGAGCTGGAATCCGAGGAGATTTCCATGGAGGCCGTTGGGTAGATCAGAGAAGGATTATAGAGAAGGGGGAAGAGAACCCAAGTTACCTTAGAGGGGGGAGGAAAACGAGCCGATGAACCTTGCGGATGAACAGAGCACCAAGCAGCAGAAATCCTAGAGCGAGAGAGCAGAAATCGGGAACCCTAATTCTAAGGGAAACCCCGGTATTTATAAGGGAGGCACCGATTCAGGGGCCAACGAAGGGGTGACACGTAGCGAGGAGCGTATCCAGGCTCACGCGCTGCGCATGGGATGGAAGTGTAATGATGGCCTTTCCTGGGGAAGTGCACCGTTTCTATAGCAGCCGTCACCTCGATCCCTGAACTGCCGCCAGCAGGTAGGTACCATGACCATGAGCGCCCACCTTCACAAACGCAACAAACACAAGTACCATGCCACGAGCGTCCACCCTTGAGGATCATCATACTTCTTTATGTCCTGTGCATGCTCAGAACATCAGAAGTGGGGGACTTGTGTTGGGATAATGGCCCAAGTAGAAGTTCGGCCCATTTACCCTTTTATTCGGACGTACGTCCGAACAGAACTGGGTAGGCTAAGCTGACAGGCAACTTGGAAGGGACGAACGTCGTCACCAAAGCCTGGGCTTACCAGCCATGCCGACGAACATCTACCCAGTTGACAGGAAACAGGCCCACAGGCCACATGGATGACGACGAACGTCGTCGGAGCAAGCCCATAACCACTGGAGGCAATCCAGCCCACATGGCAAATCCCCCAAGGGCCAGGAGACGAACGGTCCAATACCCTGTACAATATCACCAGGAGCAGCTCACCTCCCCAGCTGGACGAACGCCCCCACAAATTAGGCGGGGAATCTAGATTCTGGCGGGAAGCGCATTTAATGCTGATGATTTGGTGGTTGGAACACCAGCCATCCACAATCCTCCACGTCAGCATAGCCAACTGCTCATTGGTAGTATAAATAGCAGCATTTATTTCATTGTAAAGGGTTAGCAACTTTCTCTTCTTACCACTCTAGCTTATAGCCTTCTTATTCGCAGCTCTTCTACTGCCTTGTAAGACGATCGGCCGACGAGCCTTAGCGGAAAGTATTGTATTAGGGAGTTATTAACAGATTAATAATACCTAATCACTTACTTGCTACTTACTGTTTCCCAAGCCATCTTACTTGTCAAGTAATTGGGCTAGTTTATTCACACACTCTCCACTCGAAACCCTTGGGCTTACGTGTTGGACCCGGGGTTGAAGGAATAAACCTCAACAGTTACCAAATCTAGTCATGTAGATTGAACTATTATGTCACAATTTTAACATATATTTTTTTACATATCTTCAATTATTGAACATTGATTTTAACGTCACTACTTTATTTAAAGATTAGAATGTCAAATTCCAATAACTAAGTCTTAATTGTCTACTTAAATTATTCATATTTACCATAGACGCATATTTTTAATTTATTAAATTTACTTGTCATGAATAATATATTAACTAGGTCTGTAACTTAAACATTGATTTCTCCTAAATTTGTCCACCTTTTACTGATTTTGAAACTGAAATAGCCGGTAATTGTAGCCAGGATATGTCTAAATTGCAAAAAAAAAAACGGTGAAACTAATTTTATCATTCCCTTATAATTATGGGTGCGAGTACATCTCTCACTTGAATAATATTATAAATACTACTTAATATAGTTATATAAAATACGGAGTACTTATTATCAAATTGATGAGTCTGAATTATGTTGTACTTCAACTTGGTTGTTTGTAAGGTTGAGATCTATGTTACCGGGATATGCAAAAATCATGAGAAAATGGGAAATGAGAAACGTCAACTTTTTGCTCAAAAAACGCTTATTTGGAGAGTTTAAGTAGAGTTTCCGAAAACGGAAACATGCTCTTTCTCGAGAGTTTCCGCGCTACATATATAGGTTGAGATCTATAGACTGGATTACATGGCTGAAGGCCTGAAGTGAGAATGGGATTGAGTTCGGGTTTCCTCCTCACCCGCTCATTTTTTGCGCTAGTATACAAATACTTATGGTGTATAACTATTACTCCTCATTATGTTCTATTATAGACATTTGATTCTCAAGTATAATTATTCTAACATTCCATATATCCTTTTTATGAAAATCGCTCGCTCTAACCTTTACGTATGCCCCCAACAAGTATATTTCCTGGATCCGCCACTGATTACAATCCCGGCGCAAGAATATAAAAGTGGTTATTATAGTTCGTTTGGGAGTTTCGCCGCTTGAAGTATTTGCTTCACCCCCTACGTCCTGAGGTCGAGTGCACCCAATGCTGCTGCATTTTAGTTTGCTTCCATTAGCCTTCACTTTACTTAGTTTTGAATTTTTGACTCCGTTCATATTTAGACATATGCCACATGCCTACTAATTTTGTTCAATTGAATCAGTGTCTGACATGATGTTGCTTAAACCATACTCTAAATTTTTATAGATTTTGTTTTATATTCTTATTTTTTAATACAAATTACTCCATTTGCAAAAAAAAAACAGATTACATCATTTGGAAAATTGTTTTAAATAGGACTAAAATGTTTGTGTATTCCAAAATAGTATTGTCATGTTTTTATTCTCTAAATAAGAGTAATTATTGTCATGTTTTGGCAGTATCAGACCTTTAACATGAGAGTATTTTTCAAACTTAACAATAATTACTCTTATTTAGAGAATAAAAACATGACATTTTATTAGAAACGCGATGATAATATGGTAAATAAATCAAAGTTTTCTCTTACCGTGAAAAAGTGTAAAACAAACAATTCCTCTGTTGTTTATTAGTTGCACCGCTTTCATTTTCATGGTTGCCAATGCATGCACAATGCTAACCATTAATTTTTTTAATTCCCTGATTGTATTATTTTTAAAAAATCATCATTTTTAAAATTTAAAGTAGGAAGAATGTAATATGATCCGTATATTTTATAACAAAAAAAATATTAATGTATTTGTGAATTAAATATAGTCAAAGTAGAACACGTGAATTGCGTAAAATTTATGATGTTTTAACTATTTAAAAACGGAGGCAATATTTACTAGTGCACTAGAATAAGTACAAAGTGTACTCATTCACATTTTCACCGGAACAACCCTTTTCAATGGAGTTGCACTCTATATATCTAATGATTAATTTTTCCCCGTTTTTCCTTTATTCTTATAAAAAATTATTTTGTAAAAAAAATTATATCATGTATATATAAGAGCACCCCTTCGAATTTATCTCTGGTTCCGCCACTGATCATGTGAATACAACATTCTATATTAACATGAGTAATACCCACTTGTGTATTTATTTATTTAAAAGAAGAATATATACTCCCTCTGTCCCGGAAACAAGTTCTCACTTTTCTTATTTGAATGTCCCAAAATAAACTTTTCATTTCTTTATTTGGCAAATTATCTAAATCAAAACAGTGCAAAAAGTGTCAACGGTACAAAACATTGTCAAAACAGTAAAATTTACTTCATTCAGTGACTTTATTTCCTTAAAACGTGTAAAAATCAACCTGGGAACTTGTTTCTGGGAGGAAGGGAGTACATATTATTATCCACGGGAAAGACCTTACCTAGGTGTGTCTCCCCCAAAACGAATCATTTGGTGAAGGGTTCATCCAAAACCATTAAGATTACGTCTTTTCTTGGGACCTCTACAAACTCCTTTTATGTATCGAAATGAACAGCTTTGTTTGCATTCCCATCTTGGTGGTCCCATATGTCCGTCCGGGGACAAGGATATTCATTAGACAATTCTTGATGTCATATACGAGTAATTAATTAATTAGGGGTGTTTGGATCTAGGTGTTTGTCTAATTAATTCATTAGACAATTCTTGATCTCATTCTTAAAATTACTCTGCTCTTTGAGAGAGTAGTAATACAAGATGGGGTGTTTTGATCAAAGTGTAGAAGTACTTCTGGTGCTCTAATTTTACTCATATAATCAATTTTTTAGAAACTGGATGATACCGCATTCTGAAAATTGATTTTGCTTCTGCTTTAAAAAAGAAGCAGAAGCAGAAACAGAATCATTTCCAAACACCCCATTAGTGATGAAGTAGTTTGTTTAACGGAACCATTTCAAGATTAACTGATTGAGTCAATTTAAGTATAGATACAATCAAATAGTCTCTATATAAATCAACATTCTATCCTCATTCATATTTTCAAAGGGGTTCTCGGGATGTTTCAAATTGATTCTACTTCTTATTCTTTTTAAAAGCAAAAGCAGATCGAATCGGAATCGGTTTCTCAGAAGTGGGTGGTCTCCCACAACTTCAAAAGAAGTGTTTCTAAAAGTATTTTTCGATCGAGCATGTAGAAGTACTTATACACTTTCATCCAAACACCTCAATATAGACAATTTAAATATAGACAATTTAAATATAGACAATTTCAATAAACAGATCCAAACACCCCTACGTAGACTTCTATATACTCCGTGTTTTTTACTAATGAAAACATGACAACAATGTTTTTAAATGATTTTAATATTGTAACATTTTTTTTTATAATTTTGATATCTGCAAAGTGGTTGATTTCAATGGTCGAATTGATTCGAGTTTTATTACCAATGTCACGACAACATGTGACATTAATATTGACATTGTCATTATTATAAGAAGCAAAATTGTAATTTTGGTGAGGGACTAGTATTTCCAAAAATAAATTTAGTTTAGAAAAATGTAATTACGGACTATAATAGTAATTTAGTCATAGTAATTTATTTTTATTTTTACTGTTAAATAACTGTAGTAACTGTAGCGCCGCCCCCAAACGTATTTACTTTTAAGAGTATATTGTATTGAACCTTATGAAATGGTTGACGAGTATACGAGGTGGTGAATTTTTAATATTTCTTTTGCACGAATAGTAAACTCGCACGTGGGGCCCGCACCGGGAGCGGGGGACGCCCGATATTCCCGAGACCACATAAATTATTTATTTTGGTCTAGATGATATTTATACGGTGATGGGTAACTCAATTGAGCCATGGAAGGGTCCAGAGTTGACCGATTGGTCAAAAGAGGCTCAAATGCCGGTATTGGCAATTTAACTGATAAAAGCCCGAAATCGAATTTCAGGGACTTATAAATTAAAGTTGGGGAATGAATATTCATTATAAGGGTCATAATGATGGAGAACACATGGTATATTTTATTTGACCCGATAAAATAAAATGTATTTAAAACAGTCCGAAAAATACAACTTTCGGGGCCGATTGTACACCTCGGGACACAAAGGGATGACCTCCCACATGAGTGGGGGCCACCCCACGTTTTTTGGGGCTGGACAAACAAAGATTGTGCTGGGTTGACAAAGAAATGAGTGGAGGAGGTGCAAAGGGCCCTTTAACCTCACTCATTTGTCAAATGAGACAAAGAGGAACCCCCACCCCCCTTTCCCTTCCATTATTCGGCCAACCCACAAGAGAGGAGCAAGAAGGAGCTCTCAACCCATCCTCCATTTTTGCAGCACAAGCTCAAGCTTAAGGAGTCCAAAGAAGGGGTTTTGGGAAGGAAAAGTTGGGAGAAAGTGAGAAAGATTAAGGTAATGACCTTATACTAGCTTTTCCTTTATTTTCCTTCTATCATATGAGATATATATCATATGAAGAACCTTGAGGCTTGTTCTACATGATTTAAGTGTAGAATGGTAGGTTGGAAGGTGGTTCTATGTCCAAAAACGGACTTAGAAGCCAAACCGACCGGTTCACCGGAAAATAACCTTTTAAGGGTTATGGGTATTGATTAGGGTTTTATGATGTTAAAACCTTGTTAGGGACTTGATATAGAGTATCTTTGAGCTTCGCCGGAGTTTCGCCAGAGTTGGTCAAAGTTGGCCGGAGTTGGTCAAAGTTCACCGGAATTAGTCCAAGTTCAACCGCGGAGCGTAGAACACGCTTAAGCTCACTTAAGGTGAGGATGACCGACTATATTGCTTATAATTATTGGGTTAATTTCATAAGATTACCTAAATGAATTATATGTGTTTGGCATGATGTATTTATAATAATAAAATGCCTAAAGGAGATTTTTATTGTTTATGAGCAAAAATGCATAATATACAAATTTATGAATAAATTGTGTATGATTATGTGTTATGAATACAATGGTATAATAGTTGTGTCAACTACAAACTAAATTGTGATAAATATACTTTTACCTCATGTAAGGAAGTCGTGGAAGGATAAAAGTGATATTTTGATATTAGAGCAAGTTATACTTGAATATGGGATTTAATTGAGATATTCAAATTATTATGTACTCAAGTTACATTTGGAGTAGGCCTTAAGGGTTACTCAAAATGGATGGAACCTAGACTAAGAAGTGGTTTAGGGATTAGTTGACGTGACTATGAGCCGAGCTCTAGCACGTGGTAGCATGACTATGAGCCGAGCTCTAGCAAACGTAGGGTGACTATGAGCCGAGCTCTAGCACAAATTAGTATGACTATGAGCCGAGCTCTAGCAAACGTAGGGTGACTATGAGCCGAGCTCTAGTACAAATTAGTATGACTATGAGCCGAGCTCTAGCAAACGTAGGGTGACTATGAGCCGAGCTCTAGCACAATTTAGCATGACTATGAGCCGAGCTCTAGCATGAAGGATCATGAGTTAAGTACAAATGAATAACATCTTGGATTGAGGGTCTTGGAAATTGAAACTTTGATTATACTTAGTATAGTTGTCATTGTACTTGTCAAATGCTTCCAAGTACTGACCTCCCCTTCACGGGGGAGGCCACCTCACAGTTTCAGGTAGGGAGTAGAGCTTGCTACTACCGCTCGTTGCTTCGGGAATTCAAGGAGGAAGGCGGGGTTCGTACTTCTCTTGTTTCTGTTTTGAAAACAATTTAAAAAATGCTCATGGATATTATTTCGAACATTTATTTGGGGGCTTGTATGCCCGTGGTTGCCACGTGTGGCTTGAATATTTGTAATTATGTTTCCGCTGCTTAATTAAATATTTTACGTTATGATTGTTTATGGATGTACTATGTGTAAATGGTATTCAAGACGCCTAGTATAGTATGGATGAGTTGGACTGCGGTTGACTATTCGTACTGTACGGCGGGTTGTTGACGTGTCCGGTAGGTCCGGGGCGTGACAATTTAATTGGTATCAGAGACTTAGTCCGTAAACTTCATAATGAAGCTTCAAATTTCTTTTGAAAATGATTTTGAAAACCATGAGCATAAAGTTTTGTACTTATAGAACTTTTGGTACTTGAGTTGCAAGGTCTCTAATTGTTAAGATGGTACCCTTAACAATTGGTATGGCGGTGATTTGAGCCAAAGGATGTCTTTAAGTACCTATCCGTCACTTGACATTGATACGAGTCTAATGACTCATTCTACTTCCTTTCAGAAATGGAGCCAACCGGAAGGGTCACTAGGAGGAACCCGACAGGCCGCGTACCGGATGGATCCGAGCGCGGTAGCCGGGGGTCCACTAGGGGATCAAGAGGAAGGGGCCGTGGAGGCCAACGTCAAACCGTGAGCGATGGCCATGTCGACACGGAGAGTGAGACCTATTGGTCTTATGAGGACTCAACCTACCGGCCGGAAACTGAGCCGGTTGAGACCCCTTATGAAGGGGATGATGATTATGTGAGCGACGAGGAGGAAAGTGGCTCCTTGGCTCGGATCGAAGCGTTGCTCCAACAATATCATCGGGAGCGCGAGGAAAGGAGGGAACGCCGAAGGCGCCGTGCAGGGCAACCTTCGGGTGGGGCTCCAAGAGGAAGGAGCTATGGTGATTCAAGAACCCATGTGGAAGCGCATGGGAGTCGAGGTGATGGAGGTCCAACCATAAGGATCTCCAAATACATCAAAGAGGCGAGGGACTTGGGGTGCAAACCGTTCGATGGGACGGGGGACATCTCGGTGGCCGCGCAATGGATCAAGAGGCTGAACGAGGCGGCCCTTGACATGCAACTCACCCCCGATTTCAAACTGAGAATCGCGGTGAGGTTACTTGAAGGGTTGGCATCCAAGTGGTGGGATGGAACCAAGGGCAAGTATGGAGGGAATGTTACTTGGGAGGATTTTCGGCAAGAATTCTTTGCCCAATACTACTCTGACTTTGAGGTAAATGCCAAGGTGAGAGAATACACTCTTCTAACCCAAGGGGGTAACATGACGGTGAAAGAACTTGAGCACAAGTTCAGGGACCTTGCCGACCACATACCGGAGTATGCTTGTGATGAAAACCGAATGGTGAATCACTTTTGGGAGGCCTTGGACTTGGAGATACGTGATAGGGCGACTCAATTGCCCAACATGACTTTCAGCCAAGTGGTTGCCCAAGGGTTGAAAGGAGAGAAGCAATGGGAAGAGAGAAAGAAGAGAGACGCCGATGAGGCGAAGAAGAGGAAATGGGAGAACCATGGCCCCCAAGGTTCTAACAAAAAGGGGAACCCTGGGGGAGGTGGATCGTTCAGAGCACCGGCACCGCCATCCAAGGGGAACCCGACCTTCAGCGGGCACAACTCGGGCTCCCAAGCCTCAACGACGCCCAGGTGCAGGAATTGCAACAGGAGCCACGCCGGTAAGTGTCGTGATCCACCACGGTGCTTCCAATGCGGGAGCACAGGGCATATTAAACCAAATTGCCCTCAACTTGGTGGGAACCGAGGGGCGGGATCAAGCGGCGCCACCACGGCGAGTAGGAGCCGAACCGGGGCACCTCATGCTAGTACGGGGCAAGGGGGAGCGAGCACGAGCAACGCGCCGTCCGTGAATCAGGGGAGGTCTCAAGCACGGGTCTATGCGATGACCGAGGCCGACGCTCGGGCTAATCCCGACTCCGTTGCAGGTAATCCTTTGTAACGTTTGATAAATTACATGTATCGAGTGCTAAAAATGATAGCGGATTTGTACAGGCCCGCCGGGGCCGATACCGGTCGGTTTCTTGGCAAAAAGTTGCAAAAATAAGCTGCCCAGGGGTAAACCGGCGCCGGTCAAGGCTCAAACCGGCGCCGGTTCTAATTAAAAATGGCTGTTTCGGGGTCGCCGTGGGTAAACCGGCGCCGGTTTTGACCCATAACCGGCGCCGGTCAAGGGTCGGGGTGACTCAGGCCAATTAAAACTTGAATTCCGGGAGGCGCCGTAGCAAAACCGGCGCCGGTTTTGGCCATAACCGGCGCCGGTCTAGGGGAAAAAGTGGTCGGAAGAATCACCGTGCTCGTAACCGGGGCCGGTTTTTGAAGAAAAACATTTTTCCGAAGTTACCGATGGTAAACCGGCGCCGGTTTTGGCCATAACCGGCGCCGGTCCAGTTTATTTTGCGTGAATCCGGCCACCCCGAAGGCAAACCGGCGCCGGTCTTGCCTAGAACCGGCGCCGGTCCAGTGTATTTTCACCCGAAAGTGTTTGTTAATCTCCGTTTCGATCTGGTACGTTGAGTGGTGTGTCTTACATGACTTGTATATGTAGGAACATTAAAGATCAATGGTAGGAACGCAAGAATTCTCATTGATACCGGGGCACAACGCTCATTCGTGAGTGAAGCGTTTGCCGAAAGTTTGGACATGCCGTTGATAATAATGACGCCACCCTTGTTGGTCTCTACACTGTTGGGAGACGATGTAGAGAGGAAACATTACTACCCTTCGTGTGAGGTAGAGGTGACGGGTCAACCTTTGACTTGTGACTTCGTACCTCTAAGTATGTTAGAATTCGATGCAATTCTAGGGATGGATTGGCTCGAGAAACATCATGCTCGAGTGGATTGTTATGCCAAAGTTTTGGAACTCGAGGATGCCGAGGGAAACACCCTGCGTTTCGAGGGAGATCGGGGAGGATCTCATAGTTGTATAATATCCGTGATGAGGGCACGGAAGATGATGAAGAAGGGATGCCACGCATACCTCGCATACGTGGTGGATGAAGCAAAGAAGGAGGTTGACATCAACGATGTACGTGTCGTGTGCAAATATCCGGATGTCTTTCCCAAAGACTTGCCGGGGCTTCCACCCGACAGAGAGATCGAATTCGTGATTGAAGTGGAGCCGGGAACCAAACCCATTTCGATTCCTCCTTATCGAATGGCACCGGCCGAGCTTCAAGAGTTGAAGGTTCAGCTTCAAGAGCTATTGGACAACGGGTTCATTAGACCCAGTCATTCACCGTGGGGAGCACCCGTACTCTTCGTAAAGAAGAAAGATGGTACACTAAGAATGTGTATAGACTACCGACAGTTGAACAAGGTCACAATCAAGAACAGGTACTCTTTACCGAGGATTGATGACTTGTTTGATCAACTTCGAGGGGCAACAGTATTCTCGAAGATTGATTTAAGGTCGGGGTATCATCAGTTGAAGATAAAGGAGAGTGACATACCTAAGAGTGCATTTCGCACTAGATATGGCCACTACGAGTTTTTGGTGATGTCATTTGGTCTAACCAATGCACCGGCGGCATTCATGGACATGATGAACCGGGTGTTCAGTGAATACTTAGATCAATTTGTGATAGTATTCATTGACGACATTTTGATATACTCCAAGAGTGAAGAGGAGCATGAAGATCATTTGAGTCTTGTACTTGAACGGCTAAGGGAAAAACAACTCTTTGCCAAGTTCTCTAAATGCGAGTTTTGGCTCAAAGAGATTGGATTTCTCGGGCATGTCGTGTCAAGTTCGGGCATTTCGGTGGATAAAGCCAAGATAGAAGCCATTATGAATTGGGAGAGACCCAAAAATGTGAAAGAGATGCGTAGTTTCCTTGGCTTAGCGGGCTACTATCGAAAGTTTGTTGAAAAATTTTCCGTATTGGCGTCTCCATTGACAAAACTCACGAAGAAAGGGGCCAAGTTCATATGGGACGACAATTGTGAGAAAGGCTTTCTCGAACTAAAGAAACGGCTTACGGAAGCACCGGTTCTCGCCCTACCCACACAGGGGATAGGGTATGACATATATAGTGATGCTAGCATCCAAGGGCTTGGATGTGTACTCATGCAGAACGGTCGGGTGATTGCCTATGCTTCTAGGCAATTGAAGAAACACGAGGCGAACTACCCTACCCATGATCTGGAGTTGGGGGCGGTAGTGTTTGCACTAAAGATTTGGAGACATTATCTCTATGGAGAGACATGTCACATTTTCACCGATCATAAGAGCCTCAAGTATGTATTCACTCAGAAAGAGTTGAATATGAGGCAAAGGAGATGGATGGAGTTGATCAAGGACTATGACTTGATCATCGACTATCATCCCGGAAAGGCCAATGTAGTGGCTGATGCACTGAGCAGGAAGGGTACGTCGGGGACATTACTCACATGTCTACGAACTTTGAGGGCGCAAGTGGAGGTGTCCACGGGTGGGGTCCTCATTGCTAGATTCGAGGTTAGACCTACATTGCTGGGTGAGATCAGTAGATGTCAGGCCATTGATGAGGAATGTCAGAAGATCCGGGAGAGAATCCTTGAAGGGCCCGTGGAGAACTTTCGAGTACGTGATGACGGTCTTTTACTGTTTAAGGACCGGGTATGCATACCAAAGAGTGAGGAGCTCCAAAAGTCTATACTAGAGGAGGCTCATTCTTCGGCATATGCTATGCAACCAGGAGGCACTAAAATGTACCGAGACTTGAAGGAAAGTTACTGGTGGTCGGGTATGAAGAGGGATATCGCAGAGTACGTGGGCCGATGCCTTACTTGCCAGCAAGTTAAGGCGGAGCACCAGCACCCGGCAGGGCTTTTGCAGCCACTGACCATTCCGGAATGGAAATGGGAACATGTGACCATGGACTTCGTGGTGGGGTTGCCACGGACCGTGAACAACTATGATGCGGTATGGGTAGTAGTTGATAGGCTCACCAAGAGTGCGCACTTTTTGCCTATTAACATCACTTACCCTCTTGAAAGATTGGCAAATCTATACACGGAGGAGATTGTGAGACTACATGGAGTCCCGATATCCATTATCTCGGATAGGGATCCACGATTCACATCTCGAATTTGGCCCAAATTTCAAGCATCTTTGGGTACTAAACTGAAGTTTAGCACGGCTTTTCATCCACAGACGGATGGGCAATCCGAGAGGGTGATACAGATTTTAGAGGATATGCTTAGGGCATGTGCTCTGGAGTTCCAAGGAAGTTGGGACAAACATTTGGCTCTAGTCGAGTTCGCCTATAACAACAGTTATCAGGCGAGTATTGGCATGCCTCCATACGAGGCATTGTATGGGAGGAAGTGCAGAACACCGTTATGTTGGGACGAGGTTGGCGAGGCCAAGCTCGAGGGGATTGAACTTGTTGAAATTACCAAGGCTAAGGTGAAAGTCATTCAGGATAGACTCAAGGCTGCCCAAGATCGGCAGAAGAGCTATGCCGACAAACGACGAAGGCCATTGGAGTTCGAGGTCGGTGATAAGGTCTTCCTAAGGATTTCTCCTTGGAAGGGTATCATCCGATTTATATCGAGGGGAAAGCTCAACCCCAGATACATTGGTCCATTTGAAATCCTTGAAAGGATAGGGGCCGTGGCATACCGTCTGAAGTTGACGCCAGAACTTGAGAAGATACACGACGTGTTTCACGTATCGATGCTCAATAAATACGTGAGAGATCCATCTCATATTCTTGAGAAGCCACCGGTAGAGATACGCGAAGATCTACATTATGCGGTAGAACCGGTGAAAATTGTGGGGCAACAGGTGAAGAAATTGAGGAACAAGGAGATTCCTATGGTGAAAGTCCTTTGGAGGAGTGATCGAGTTGAAGAAGAAACATGGGAGACCGAGGTCTCAATGAGGGAGCAATACCCTTTTCTCTTCGATTAGACACGTGGATTTCGGGGACGAAATCCCAAATAAGGGGGGGTGAACTTGTAGCGCCGCCCCCAAACGTATTTAATTTTAAGAGTATATTGTATTGAACCTTATGAAATGGTTGACGAGTATACGAGGTGGTGAATTTTTAATATTTCTTTTGCACGAATAGTAAACTCGCACGTGGGGCCCGCACCGGGAGCGGGGGACGCCCGATATTCCCGAGACCACATAAATTATTTATTTTGGTCTAGATGATATTTATACGGTGATGGGTAACTCAATTGAGCCATGGAAGGGTCCAGAGTTGACCGATTGGTCAAAAGAGGCTCAAATGCTGGTATTGGCAATTTAACTGATAAAAGCCCGAAATCGAATTTCGGGGACTTATAAATTAAAGTTGGGGAATGAATATTCATTATAAGGGTCATAATGATGGAGAACACATGGTATATTTTATTTGACCCGATAAAATAAAATGTATTTAAAACAGTCCGAAAAATACAACTTTCGGGGCCGATTGTACACGTCGGGACACAAAGGGATGACCTCCCACATGAGTGGGGGCCACCCCACGTTTTTTGGGGCTGGACAAACAAAGATTGTGCTGGGTTGACAAAGAAATGAGTGGAGGAGGTGCAAAGGGCCCTTTAACCTCACTCATTTGTCAAATGAGACAAAGAGGAACCCCCACCCCCCTTTCCCTTCCATTATTCGGCCAACCCACAAGAGAGGAGCAAGAAGGAGCTCTCAACCCATCCTCCATTTTTGCAGCACAAGCTCAAGCTTAAGGAGTCCAAAGAAGGGGTTTTGGGAAGGAAAAGTTGGGAGAAAGTGAGAAAGATTAAGGTAATGACCTTATACTAGCTTTTCCTTTATTTTCCTTCTATCATATGAGATATATATCATATGAAGAACCTTGAGGCTTGTTCTACATGATTTAAGTGTAGAATGGTAGGTTGGAAGGTGGTTCTATGTCCAAAAACGGACTTAGAAGCCAAACCGACCGGTTCACCGGAAAATAACCTTTTAAGGGTTATGGGTATTGATTAGGGTTTTATGATGTTAAAACCTTGTTAGGGACTTGATATAGAGTATCTTTGAGCTTCGCCGGAGTTTCGCCAGAGTTGGTCAAAGTTGGCCGGAGTTGGTCAAAGTTCACCGGAATTAGTCCAAGTTCAACCGCGGAGCGTAGAACACGCTTAAGCTCACTTAAGGTGAGGATGACCGACTATATTGCTTATAATTATTGGGTTAATTTCATAAGATTACCTAAATGAATTATATGTGTTTGGCATGATGTATTTATAATAATAAAATGCCTAAAGGAGATTTTTATTGTTTATGAGCAAAAATGCATAATATACAAATTTATGAATAAATTGTGTATGATTATGTGTTATGAATACAATGGTATAATAGTTGTGTCAACTACAAACTAAATTGTGATAAATATACTTTTACCTCATGTAAGGAAGTCGTGGAAGGATAAAAGTGATATTTTGATATTAGAGCAAGTTATACTTGAATATGGGATTTAATTGAGATATTCAAATTATTATGTACTCAAGTTACATTTGGAGTAGGCCTTAAGGGTTACTCAAAATGGATGGAACCTAGACTAAGAAGTGGTTTAGGGATTAGTTGACGTGACTATGAGCCGAGCTCTAGCACGTGGTAGCATGACTATGAGCCGAGCTCTAGCAAACGTAGGGTGACTATGAGCCGAGCTCTAGCACAAATTAGTATGACTATGAGCCGAGCTCTAGCAAACGTAGGGTGACTATGAGCCGAGCTCTAGCACAAATTAGTATGACTATGAGCCGAGCTCTAGCAAACGTAGGGTGACTATGAGCCGAGCTCTAGCACAATTTAGCATGACTATGAGCCGAGCTCTAGCATGAAGGATCATGAGTTAAGTACAAATGAATAACATCTTGGATTGAGGGTCTTGGAAATTGAAACTTTGATTATACTTAGTATAGTTGTCATTGTACTTGTCAAATGCTTCCAAGTACTGACCTCCCCTTCACGGGGGAGGCCACCTCACAGTTTCAGGTAGGGAGTAGAGCTTGCTACTACCGCTCGTTGCTTCGGGAATTCAAGGAGGAAGGCGGGGTTCGTACTTCTCCTGTTTCTGTTTTGAAAACAATTTAAATAATGCTCATGGATATTATTTCGAACATTTATTTGGGGGCTTGTATGCCCGTGGTTGCCACGTGTGGCTTGAATATTTGTAATTATGTTTCCGCTGCTTAATTAAATATTTTACGTTATGATTGTTTATGGATGTACTATGTGTGAATGGTATTCAAGACGCCTAGTATAGTATGGATGAGTTGGACTGCGGTTGACTATTCGTACTGTACGGCGGGTTGTTGACGTGTCCGGTAGGTCCGGGGCGTGACAGTAACACTTAAATGTGATTATAGCTGTAATAATCTGGTCATACAAATTGTCATAGTAACACTTAAATGTGATTATACTGTAGTAACTATTAGTCATATTTTTATAAATAAGTTGTTTTCAGTAATATTGAGAAAACTGTCAATTTGGTCCTTGTACTATTACAAAAAAAAGTCATTTAGGTTCTCATACTTGTAAAAATATTAATCAAATCCCCAAATTTTGAAAAAACATTTAATTGAGTGAATTATCAGGTTATCCCCATATCAGCGGGTCACCCGCTGACGTGGCGGTCGATGTGTGTGCCACATCATCGATAAATGGTTGACTAGACTTCTATGAGTGGGCTGCCACTGGTGTGCAAAGTCAGCATATGACCTGCTAATATGGCGGGTAACTTGTTAATAGACTTAAGTGAACGTTTTTACAAAGTTCGAGGATTTGATTGATTTTTCAAAAAACACGATGATTTAATTGACTTTTTTGTGATAGTGCGATAATCAAATTGACAATTTTCCCCAGTAATATTAAAAAAGAACTATATTTATTGAGCACCATTCCCTTATCTAATAATAAAATCTTATATCTTATAAAAGTCAATGGGAGTTAGGGCCTTTTAGTTATATAAAAAGAGAATTTACCCAAAATAGGACTAAAAAGATTTGGAAATTCCAAAATAGGACTGACATGTTTTTATTTCCAAAATAGGACTAATCACTGTCATGTTTTGGCAGTACCAGACTTCAAACATGGCAATATTTTCCAAACTTGGCAGTAATTACTCCTATTTTGGGAATAAAAAACATGACAGTCCTATTTTAGAATTTTCAAACTGTTTTAGTCCTATTTCGGGAACTTTCCCTTATAAAAAAGGTTTTGGTGAAACTTTATATATAGCAGTAGGTTATTGTGAACTACATTTTACACTTTGTACTATCTTTCGATTGTCCCATTTTTCGAATTCCTCAATTAAATTACGAAGTGAAGACCTTCTTTCCCCAACTATGTCACGGTTAACCTTTCTTTATATATAGGGTGTGGTTCCGGTGAGAACACTTCTCAACGTGAAAAATGAAAGTGCTCCAAAACGATGCACTTTATAATTCACGAAAATGCACATTTATTGTTAAAGTAATGCAAAATTGTAATGTGCACTTTTACGTGTAAACTTTTGCACACTTGAAATGCACATTTTCCAATTTTTATATGCACATTTCTGTTTTATTTACATGATGCACAGTGCCAAAATCCAACGCTCCAGAATCATTTCTCATTTCTCATTCTCATTTCTCACGTTAAGAAGTATTCTCATTTGATCCTTACTCTCTCTCTCTCTATATCTCTGTGTGTGTGTGTGTGTGTATAGGGAAAGGTTCAAGTGAAAAAGGACTTCTAGGAGAGAAATGAGAATGAATCAAGACCGTTGGATTTTATTATGCCAAACTGAGTTCTGCATTTCGTGAAACTAGAATGTGCATTATGTGAAATTCAAATGTGCATAATAAAAAGTAAAACTCAAAAGTGCATTATGTAAATTTGAAATATGCAGAATAAAAGGTACAAAAATGTCACAACATCGTATCTTTTATTATGCACATTTCAGATTTACCTAATGCACATTTTAGTTTCACTTTGGATTACCTTTTGTACTGCACATGTCAATTTCATCTATTGCACATTTTAGTTTCACCTAATGCACATTCAATTTCACAGAATACAATCTAACGGTCCAAATTCATTCTTATTTCTCTCCTAAGATCATTTTCTCACTTGAACCTAATTATATATATATATATATATATATATATATACACACACACACACACACATTATAAAAGCCAATGAGAGTTAGGGCCCTTTAGGTATAAAAAAGTGTTGGTGAAAGTTTATAGCATTAAGTTATTGTACACTACATTTTACACTTTGTACTCTCCTTCGATTATCCCACTTTTTGAATTCCTCCATTAAATTACGAAGTGAAGACCTTCTTTCCCCAACTATGTCACCGTTAACCTTCATTTGCATAAAATCTTCATTTAAAATTTAATTTATCATTTAATTACACCATTCTAATTTATGCATAGTTTCATAAATTAGGCTTTAGTTGCTCATACTATAGTTGGTTTTCATTAAAAAAAGGATGACACTCTATCCCTGAGGGCCCCCCAACACCGACCGGACGGCACGATGGGAGGATGTAAATTGGACTATAATCACAATTTGACAGATAGAAAGCGAGGCTCTGTCTTCGGTACTTACAGAGGCCCTATGCTTTGTCTTGCTTTGTTGTTGTGTTTGATTTTGGAGTGGAGGCAGAATTTCAATCGCTAAATAAACTTTGCTTCTACTATCTTCTACTATGCCGGCAATGAACTATGTCATATTGAAAATATTTGTAAGTTGTTTATCATATTGAAAAATTCCCCTTTTATTTTTCTTTGAATGATTCTATGTCATTTACTAAATAACTCTATAATGGATCTCTTATATTTAGTATTTTTCTTCTTGGATTTGTGTGCTCCTTCATAGGTAATCGCCTTTTTGGGTCACAGACTCGATCTCCATAGTCTGAGTTATATGCGATGTTCCATGGGGAGTGAAAAATAATGCTCACTAAGTGTGTAAATTTGCTTGAATGACATCCATCGTAACTTATGTGAGATATTATGCCATTTAATTTACTTATACATCATAGTAGATTGAAACAAGTTATCATGCATGCTCTAGAAAGATAAATAAGAATGTATTCAAATACCTGTTGAATTTAGAAATAAAAAACTTTTAGTTTTATATTCTAAAAGTAAAAGGGATTAAAGGTCTTAGGGGAGCAGCCCCTGCATTTCTTGGAAATTATGGCCATAGCATGAGTATAAATAATCAAAGGAAAATCGCACTTTTAGTTCCTGAAATAGTCACGAAAATGAAATGTCAGATCCTTATTCCCAAGTTTGTAAATGTTGTCCCTCAATTGACCTAAATGTTGTAAATGTGGTCCTTTGAGGGGTGAAATATACAATGTGGGTGAGAGTACATTTCACTCCTTAAAGGACCACATTTACAACAATTTGGACAATTGAGGGGTGACATTTACAATATCAGAAATACGGGTCCGACATTTCATTTAGTGAATATTTCAAGGACCAAAAGTGCGATTCTCCCAATAATCAAACAAACTTAAGTTATAGGTACCAAACTTAAGTTATAGGTACCATCATGGAACAAAACTAAAGTGATTTTTACATTTGTAACAATAGAAATATCTATCTATTTGAAAAATGATCTTTCAAAAAACTAGAAATATGTGTCTTCACAAGGACATTCCACGTCATAGATGAAAATATGCTTATTATTGAAAATCTGTTATCTATGCTTTACTTTTTAAAATGAAATGAAACTATTATTATCAAAGGGAAATGAAAAGATAGTTTCTGGCAGGGGCGGACCTATAGTATAACCAGTGTAAGCACTGGCTTCACCTCAAATTGTTCCATCAGCCTATCTGGTATTAGTGTATAAATTTGTTCCTCTATTAGGCTTCAGGTCATTGGTTCAAATCCCTCTAAGGCTACACCCAATTTTTTTTAAAAACTTCTCAGTTGGCAAGTTTAGCATTTGGGCCGTGCGAGTGGGCCTTTTATTTTTCGTTTGTTCAGTTGACTAGACCGTAAGTAATACGTAGTACATGGGTAATTAATAATTTTACAATCAAAACAGATGCCATTTACACCCATTTCAAACTCTCTAGACCCTATTCCCTTTCTTCTTCCAAAACAATACGTGTCTTCTGGCGAATGGCTTTTAATCATCAAATACACATAGTAATTTTTTTCTAATATAAAATCACAATTATCATCAATAACTCATTATATTATATACTCATCAAAATTATTTCCCAAAGCAGTGGAGGAGCTGGGGGGGGGGGGGGGCAAGGGGGGGCAAGCGCCCCCGCTCCGACCAATTTTTTTTTACTAGTATTACTTATAATATGTTTCTTGCTCCGGCTTCTTTTTTTAAAAACAATAAGTACAACTTAAGGTTATTTTAAGATTAAGTGTTAATTCTTCAATTGTTCCTAATCAGTCTATCTCCGGTGTTGAAAATGCCACTGCGTCAAATGAAAATATTGCTAGAGATGAGAGGAATGAGAGGGACAAGAGAGTCCGAACAGAAAGTACACATGAATGGGATATTATTAGTGATCCATTTTTACGAAAACAAATTAATGAATATGCGCCGGGGGTTATGGATGATGTGATGAGAGCATATGTTGTTAAAGGTGCTTGCCAACCAACATTTCATAAGTTTCCACGAACTGAATTTGGAAAGTCATTAAGGAGCTTTCGAGGAGAGTGGTTTAAAACTTGGGAATGGTTGGAATATAGTATTTCTGAAGATGCTGCTTTCTGTTTTTTGTGTTACCTTTTTCATGGGCAAGAAAGCCAAGAAGGAAAGAGATTTGGTGATGATGTGTTTGTGAGGATCGGATTCCGTAACTGGAAGAAGTCTCCTCAGTCTTGCGGAGTTGTATTCATCTGATTTTCAGCTGTTGAGCAAATGGAGCTTAAAGAACAACTCCAAGTTTGGATATATGAGATGAGAGGGAATGAAGCATTTTCCACTTTACAAAGTATTGGTGAAGTGTCTAAGAAGATGGTTGAGCTTACAATTCACAAATCTTTTCACTTGGTCAATCGTCTTATTGAGTTGGCTCTAGTGTTACCAGTTGCAACAGCCACAGTTGAAAGAGCTTTCTCAGTGATGAATATTATCAAGACAGATCTTCGCAATAAGATGGGAGATGACTATCTTACGGATTGTTAGTATGCTACATCGAAAGAGACATTTTTCAAGCAATTGATAATGAAGCTATTATGCAGCATTTTCAAAATATGAAACTCGTAGGATTGATTTGCCTACGTTGCAAAAGTAAATCAAGTAGCATGTAATGAACTATAATTTTTTTGCTAATTAATTACGCCATTGTTGTTCTTATTATATTTTGGACACGCACTTTAAAATTTTTAGTCTTCAGTTTGCCCCTCC